ATCACTAAATTAAATGCAAATTGCTTCTGGCTGAGGCTGCATTTACACTGCAGGGGCCTCATGTATGAAGACTTGCGTGGAAATCTTACTAAATCATTGCGTACGCACAAAGCTGTAAATGTTAAAAAATTTCAGGGGCCTCATGTACGAAGACTTGCGTGGAAATCTTACTAAAACATTGCGTACGCACAAAGCTGTAAATGTGCGTACGCAGAAAAAAATTCAGATGTATGAAACACTGCGTACGCCGAGTGTCACGCATATTCTTTTGTACATCTGAATGAACGTGAAACTGAGCGCAACATGCACGAGCACAAAACCCCTCCCTGCCTCCTCCCCCGTATGAATATGCTAATGACTATGCTAATGTAAAAACCCAACGAAAAAGCAATGGCAAAAGCAAGCAAAAAGAGAAACTTTGAACAGAATGTGAAATTGAGGTGCTGCTTTCGGAGGTAGACCGGAGAAAAGCGGTGTTATTTGCAAGTTTGTTCGGCGGAATTAACAACAAAAGAAAAAAAATAGAGTGGGAGAGTTTAGCTGATACGGTTAACACAGTTGGGTCTGAACATCGCACTGAGTGGATTTAAAAAAGAATTAGTGTGGTTTATATCTGTAAAATGTTGCAGCACCCTCGCAGTCTCAGTGGCGCACCTCATAAGAAGCATATGATCGTGTACTGACACGTTCGAGCTTAACTCGGCTCGAATCCAGCGTCTGATGAATTCATTCTTCTTTTTTTTCCCCGCTACATATCAGATTTTGCCCACTATTTATCACGAGAAAGACAAGTAGGAATCATCAATAAGTTTGTGCATCATATTTTATTTGCACATTTATTGAATGGAAATGTTTCTGATTCACGCATGCAAATTTATCTTCACATAGTGTCTTTATAGCAATGTGCGTGCAGTAGATAGCTCAGATTACATTGGGAAAACAGGCGACCGCTGCAAATTGTGCTTTAATGTTTAGCTGGTCAACTGTATGGTATGGAAATCTTACATACCTACTATATGAACCCGTCTCATACAGACGCCATTGCAAGGATCAGACACTTTGTAGAGAAGAATTTAACACAACTGCCTCTAGGAGTCGCCAATGGAAATAAAACAGACACGCACAAAAAAATGTGCGTACGCCTGCCAGAAACCTGCCGTGAACCTGCGCAAATTCCCACGTTCAGTTCATTGTTAGTAAATCCAAACGTGAGCGATTCTGAGCGTGAAACCTGGCGTACGCAAAGTTTTTGTGCGTACGCAGCGTTGATACATGAGGCCCCAGATTTATGAAACACTGCGTACGCTGAATCTCACGCATATTCTTTTGTACATCTGAATGAACGTGAAACTGAGCGCAACATGCACGAGCACAAAAACCCTCCCTGCCTCCTCCCCCATATGAATATGCTAATGACTATGCTAATGGCAAAATCCAACAAAAAAGCAATGGCAAAAGCAAGCAAAAAGAGAAACTTTGAACAGAATGTGAATTGGAGGTGCTGCTTTCGGAGGTAGACCGGAGAAAAGCGGTGTTATTTGCAAGTTTGTTCTCCGAATTAACAACAGAAGAAAAAAATAGAGTGGGAGAGTTTAGCTGATGCGGTCAACACAGTTGGGTCTGAACATATCGCACTAAGTGCATTAAAAAAAAAAAGAAATAGTGTGGTTTATATCTGTAAAATGTTGCAGGACGCTGAACAGTCTTAGTGGCGCGCTCGTAAGACGCTTGTGATCATGAATTGATACGTTCGAGCATGAACTCGCCTCAAATCCAGCGTCTGATGAACTCTTTCTTGTTTTTTCCCCCGCTACATATCAGATTTTGCCAACTATTTATCACGAGAAAGACAAGTAGGAATCATCAATAAGTTCATATCAATAAGCATCATATTTTATTTGCACATTTATTGAATGGAAATGTTTCTGATTCACGCATGCAAAATCATCTTCAGATAGTGTCTTTATAGCAATGTGCATGCAGTAGATAGCTCAGATTACATTGGGAAAACAGGCGACCGCTGCAAATTGTGCTTTAATGTTTAGCTGGTCAAATGTATGGTGTGGAAACCTTATATACCTGCTGAACCCGTCTCATACAGCTGCCATTGCAAGGCTCAGACACTTTGTAGAGAGGAATTTAACACAACTGCTTCTAGGAGTCGCCAATGGAAATAAAACAGACACGCACAAAAAATGTGCGTACGCCAGCCATAAAGCTGCCGTGAAGCTGCACACATTCCCACGTTCAGTTCATTGTTAGGAAATCCAAACGTGAGCGATTCTGAGCGTAAAACCTGGCGTACGCAAAGTTTTTGTGCGTACGCAGCGTTGATACATGAGGCCCCAGGTCTTGATGGTCAATTCTGATTTAGTGGCTGTATCCGTTTTTTTTTTTTTTTTTTTTTTTTTTTTTGATGACCCTCTTGCATCATCTTTTAAAAGTGACTCATCCAATTGACTGCATTTACACTACAGACAATGAAAGGAAGCAATGACCAGGGAAAAAAAGAAAAAAAAAGAGTGGGCGCTGACTGACAGCTGATAATAAAAGAGCAGCCTTTTCTCCATTCCTGTATTCAATCTGTTCGCAGGGTTTCTTTTTTTTTTTTTTTTTTTTTTTTTTTTGACAATTTGCTTTACTATTTTTTTATGACAAAAAAGTTCTAATTTCTCTTATTTTAATCTAGGCTTTTTTAAACCAGTAGGCATTGTAATGTAATGTCCATGGCATGTATTATGCTTATAATGTATGCAACAGTTGTATATATTGTTTATGTGGCGGATGTTGCTTTCTCTCTCTCGCTAGCTAGCATGCTTGAATACTTGTTTATGATAGATCATAGCTATTATATTTTTAGAACTTTTGTTTCTATAATATGATAATTCACTTCGAAAGCATATTGCAATTACCAAGCACAAAATTGAAACACAAATTCGAAGGTGGAATCGTATTACCTAATAGTTGTTAAAAAGATCAATCAATCTAATCAATTGATCAAACAAAGATCAGGGAATGCTGACATGTGCGCCCCATAAAATCAACATTTTAGTCTTCCTTCCATCAAACAGCTTGTTCTATGTAAAGAATACTGAAGTAAAGCCCGGAGGCAGGAAAACTCACTCGATTGATGGCCAGTCTATCAGAAACCAGTGTAGTGACAACTAATGTAGGGTGCACATTGCACAAAGTTCTGAGTTGCTGGATCGCTTTTCTTCTCACACTACACAACTGTCTGGGGGTAACACAACCCTACATGATGTATTGTTGACATTGAGGTCACACACCACACAACATTTTAATAGGAAAACCTAGAGACATTGATTCTGTAACTAAACACACTGCAAAAAATACAAAAATAACAAACAAACAAATGAACGAAAGTGTTATTATTATTATTATTATTGTTAATAACAGCAATAATAATAATAATAATAATAATAATAATAATAATAATAATAATGAATTATAATTTATTTATTTGTTATGTGTGTTGTGGTTATTCATTTGTTTTCGGTCAAGGCTTCCAAATGGCCAGTAATCTTACTGACTTAAGAAAAAAAAAAAAAACATAAAACCAATAAATAAATAAATAAATAAATAAAAGTATTATTATTGTTATTATTATTATTATTATTATTATTATTATTATTATTATTATTATTAATCTATGCTTCTTCTTCTTCTTCTTCTTCTTCTTCTTATTCGTATTCTCATTATTAAACTTCATATTATTCTGAATACTTCAACTACTACTACTACTACTACTACTACTACTACTACTAATAATAATAATAATAATAATAATAATAATAATAATAATTAATTATAAAGTCTTTATTATCTAAATTAATTAAACTTATATTTTATCTGTTTGATTGATTGCTTGTTTGTATTTATTTATTTATTATTTATTTATTTATTTATTTATTTATTTATTTATTTATTTATTTATCTATTTAATTATTATGTGTGTGTGCATTCATTTGTTTTCAGTCTAGGCTTTTAAACAGCTGGTACTCTTACAGAATTTTAACAAATCTACAAAAAACAAACAAACAAATAATGAATAAATAAATAAATAAATAAATAAATAAATAAATAAATAAATAAATAAATAAATAAATAAATAAATAAATAAATAAATAAATAAATAAATAAATAATTGTATGGCAGAATCGATTTTAGATTGGTGCTTTCTGAATATTTTTACACATTTATTTCCTTTATCTAATTAACTTCCCATGACCATTAGATGAGTTATACAGCCACAAACAATATCTATTGCTTTACTACCTGACATAAAATATGACACACATATGTCTACTCGGCTGTGAAATATATCATATATATGTGTGTGTGTGTGTGTGTGTGTGTGTGTGTGTGTGTGTGTGTGTGTGTGTGTGTGTGTGTGTGTGTTTGTGTGTGTATATATATATATATATATATATAGCTGCAAAACAAACCATCATTATTCAATAACTTGCCTAATTACCCTAACCTGCCTAGTTTACCTAATTAACCTAGTTAAGCCTTTAAATGTCACATTAAGCTGTGCTCATGACAAAGATCAAATAAATCAGTAATTAGAAATTAGTTATAATTATTAATATTTAATTTCATCCATTGCAAATTACACTTGTGAACAACTTTGACAGCAACACAACTTATGTACTACAGAAAATCTTTGAATGCATCTTATTGGTACATTCTAAAGTCACTGAGTGCATATTATTGATGGACTTTCTTGCCTATCTTCTTTAAAACACGCTTTTAGCTGCGGCTTGTTACATCATTTGTAATCCTTACAGCTTGATGCTAACTGCAAGTTCAAGACCAGGCAGTCAAAAAGCTCTGGGAGTGTGTGGGGAATGAGAAACGGACGTTTATGCAGACTGACAACCAACTGCCTACACACATCACATCCTGAAAGGGGACCGCCTTTGTGTTTGACCGTAGAGTTCAGCAAGCTTTTATGATACTGATGCCGGCCGACTTACCTGAAGTTGATACAGGATCCTCAGGGAAAGTCAGCTCGTCCTCTGCTATCCAAGAAAAGTTCCAGTATTTGGGAGCGACGGTGGGATTTCTTGAGATTGTGGATGAGGGACGTTCTGCAGAAAAGAAACAAAGTAGAGTTTGCTGTCAAACGCCTTTGAAAACATACTGTAATGTCAGAATATGTCTGAACGAGTTAAGCTCTGTGCGAATGGAGGCTTTATCTTTGTCTGTGGAACATTTTATACTCTTTGTCTTGGGTTAGATTTTATCCAGTGGCAGTTTTATAAAACCTCACACAAAGAAACTTGAGAATGTAAAAGAAGAGTTGGCAACACTATAAATGGGGGTCTTTATAAGAGTGTCGTGACATCTTTATAATCATGATTTCACATGTATTATAGAAATGACTCAGATTTAATGAATGCTTATATGATGTTGGTCATTCAATCAGTTTTTATCATTTAAAATGCAAAGGTGATGTTGTTTGAGATGCCATTGTTATGGCAACTTAACAAAATCCAATACATCATAACCGACAAAAATCTTTAATTTCAGATTTGTTTGTTTTGTTTTGTTTTTGTCAGTGAAATTATTATAGTTTGTCATTAAAATGTCTTAGTAAAGTGTGAATACGCTTTAAAACAGCTTTTAAGCATTCACACTTAGCTGATGATTGATTATAAAGCTTGTTTGGCATGCTGTCCCAGGAGAGAGCCCTGAGCTCATAAGATCCTCGAGCCCAGGGCTCCCTCCCGTTTGCAAGGCCAGGGGGGAGTTTAAGCTCAGGTAGATCTTGACAACTCCCCTGCTGTAGTAGCCAATGAGCAGATAGTGATTGCTCTTAACAGATAACTACTTACTAGGAGCATGTCTATAAAATAAAAACAAACAAACAATAAAAAATATTAAAAACAGATTAAAATGCGTTAAAACAGGTTGTAAAAGAATAAAAAAGAAGAAAAGAAAGACATAATAGTGGGATCTGTCAGACGTAGCACAGTGCTCATTCAGTAATTTGGATTAGTCAATTAAATTAAGTTGCATGTTTTTGGATGGAACCCGGGGGAAGCCATGTGAGCATGGGGAGAATGTGTAAACTCTGCACAGATACGTCAGCTGGCTTGTTAAGGACTAGAACCAGTTACGTTCGTGCTGTGAGGCAACAGTGCTAACCACTGGGCCACTGTACCTACCATCTAGAAAAGGAGGAGGAGGAGTAGGGGTGGAAGGAGGGATTCTCCAAAACAAAGATGGCTGTGAAATGGAACTTGGGGTATTTATAGTAGCTTAAGAATCGCCTGATTGGTGGATTATATATTGAATAATGCTGGACCAGCCGCAAGCAATCATAAGCACGTGATCCTCTTGAAATTAGTTTATTAATAAACATCACTTATTAATTTAAATGACAATTTCATGACAAATTTAGTTGTTATTGTAGTTTTTCTTCATTGGCTTTGCTCATTTCTTGAAACAGAAATTACATTCTCAGAACAACATGGCGAAATCTCTAAACCTCTTGCCAGTTGTTCACAACAGAATAGATTTTTTTTATTCATTTCATCAAATTGCAAATGTCTAAGTACATCTTTGCGGATGATTAAGTACATGTAACAAATGTGGCCCATCAGACACATAATTATTGGGTCCAACTTTATATTAAGTGTCCTTAACTACTGTGCACTTACATCAAAAAATAAATACAATGTACTTACTGTGTTTATAATGTATTTGAGAACACTTGTGGTGCTTTTGAGTTGGGATAGAGGTTGGGTTATGGACAGGTTTGGTGGCATGGGTAGGTTTAAGGGTAGGTTAAAGTGTATGGGATGGTCAACAGTGTATTTACAAATGTATTTACAAAAGTTAATTACAGATGTAATTACATACATGTATTTAAGCAAGCTTAAGTACACAGTAAATACATGTATTTACACAATAAGTACATTGTAACAAACTAGTAATTCCTGTGTATGTTTATATTAGTTAAGACCACTTAATATAAAGTGGGACCTTATTTTGCTTTATTCCACAAATGATACATCATTAACCTCTCCTAGCCAGAAAAGACAAGATGGTTAGTGTGTAATACAAAGTATTTTCAACACAAATGAATGCTCCTTGCTTAAGACTGATACTTTTAATGTAAACCTTTATTTTCTCTTTATGTGTAATTAGGTGTTTCGCAACTAGTCTCTTGCTTATATATTAATAGTATGATTTTGATATCACTTTATTTTGATGGTCCCTTTAATGCATATTGTTCAAATCAATGAAGAAAAAAAAAACTGTAAAATAACATTAACTTGTTATTGACATTGTTATACTATTCATAAAGCAATTACAATGGCCTCATTGCAATCATGTTTATGACGGATTTATGACAAGTTACGTTGTTTTGATAATCTGCAGTTGCCATGATAAACAAATTCATCATAACTAGGCCCACCCGGAATCTACACTCGCAGAATTCCGCAGATTTTTAGCCCATCATTAATTCTGTTTATTTACTTTGAGTAAATGTGTGTAAATCTATATTTATTCAGTTTTTTATATTAATTTCACTAATATTATTGACTAATGTGAAACTGTTCATCTGATTTATGTACAATGCAGTTTGTACAGTATTATTTTCTGTCTTTTACTAGATATATTATATGGAAAAACTTGCTTTATTTACCAAATAAAGTGAATCTAATTGGATTTGCATTTAAAACCATTAAAAAAAAATTAAAAGATGTATTTTTTTTTATTTCATATATTAAGGTTTTAGTTATGATACTCCCAAAATAATTCAGCAGAAATACGCAGACTTTTACCAAAATTGTTCGCAGATTCCGTCTGGCCCTAATCATAACCAGTCTTTGTCTTTATGTCAGGTTGTCATAACAAAGTTATCTCAAACAATGTCACTTTTTTGTTTAAAGTAACTAAGCGAATGACACTTAATGGAAGTTGTCATAACTATGCATAAAATCTCAATCATAATCATATTCATATTCATATTCATGTCATGCTCTTCAAAAAAAGTGTGACTGACAGTTTCACATATGGCACTGTATATAATATTTAATTTGATAACAATGAATATACATTTAGTTGAAAATATACATTTTTGCTTACCTTTCTATTTCAGTTAATAAAAGCAAACACATTTTAAGCTGATAAATTATCTTCCAATTCTTGTGTTAATCAACATTTAATGTGCGTTGCATAAAAGTGCATTGCAGGATTTCATGTATGAATACTTTCTATCACAAAAAGCTCTGGCCTTTACACAGTAATCTGCCTTAATTAGTTTTTGTTGTTTGCTTATTCTAATCGTCCTTCATTACACACCTGCACAGATATTGCTGACACAGATCATTTGTTTGTGGAGCACTGCTTGTCTAAGCTAATTTGGGGATCAAGAACCGCTGTGGGTTTCTTTACCACATGCACTATTTATATCAGCACAAATAAAACAAATTTACAAACAACTTGTATATATACAGACTGTGCAGCGTTCTTTAACTCTGCTTTAACCTTGCTTTAATTATGTAACTACAGTTATGGAGCAATTAATGGGATATGCAGGTAAGCATAATGTTTAAAATGACTTTAAAACTAATTTCCTTTTTTTGTAATTGTTGTTTTTTTTATTATTATTCCATTTCGTAAAATAATAATCAAAATGTGCAGATATTTAAAAATGCCTGTCAACGATGACATAATGGGTTCCATACTCCTCTGGATTATAATAAGGAACTTTTATTAACTGGATTATTAACTTGAAGTACACTGTAAAACCCTTAAAGTTAATGTAACTAAATCCATTTGAGTAAATAAAGCAATTTAAGCACAGTGAAATCCTATAAATGAAGAGAACTCAAACCAAATGAGTACTGTAAAACAGTGGTTCTCAAAGTGGGGTTGGGACCCCCCGAGGGGTCACGGGACTTTGACGTGGGGGTCGCCTGGTGATTTCCAAAAATCTATTTATTTTTATTAAATCATAATAATTACTTAATTACCATTTTTGATCCATAACCTACTGAAAAAAATGTTGTTTATAGTTACTATATCAACCCGGGCTCATTGTGGAAACTAGCCCCGCGGACGTTTCTGTGGACCGCGATTTACGTCCCAGGAGGTACGTATTCGAGCGTTTTTTGTTTTCGCGGATCCGCGATAGGCCGCTGTGTGCAGTTTTTCGCGTCTCGGGCGCCTCTCGGGAGCACGCGCCGTTCGCGCCCGCGCCGTTCTCGCGCGATAAGCCGCCGGACCGGCCGACTCGGCCACCCTCCTCTTTCTCCTCCTCCTTCCCTAAACCCGAGCGGCGATTTGCAAAAGCTGTCCAGAAAAAAAAAAAAAAACAAAAGCCCTCGTCTTCGATTTCAACCGCGTTTTCGGATCCCGCCGTGTTCTCGCCCTTATTTTTCGGATTCTGTTTTTCGTCTTACCTGATTTCCGGAACCTGCTGGCCTCCGCTCCGCCGACGCAACGCTGTGAACTAAGCGGACAAACTGATTGCATCGGGAAAGCCCTCCACTCGGAGGCGAGCCGTCGGCCGGCTAGCGCGAAGAGAAGGGGCGAAGCGTTCGCTCGAAAAAAACTAAACGCGGCCTTTACGTACCTCCGGCCATGTAAATCGCTGTCTCCAGAAATGTCCGCAGGGCTACGTTTCCAGAATGAGCTTGGGTTGTACTATATAGTTACTATAGTAGCTTATAGTTACTAGATGGATTGCGACCCCTGGGGTAAATACATTATATTAAAGACACAGCAATAGCGTCTGATGCAGCAGATTCATTTTATAATAACAGGTTAAACTTTCTGGCACGTTTACAGCACTGATATACATAAAAAAATATTAATAATAAAATAAAAAATAAATAAACAAAGAACAGATTTGGGTCTATTGGTGTGTGTACACCATTGCATGCAAAGTTTATGTATTTATAATCACCTCAGAGGGTATTGGGGGTCTCACTGGCATTGTTATTTTGGGGGTGGTGATGACAGTATGATGACAGTAAATAATATTTTACTAGATTTTTCAAGACACTTTTATACATCTTAAAGTAACATTTAAAGGCTCAACAAGGTTAATTAGGTTAACTAGGCAGGTTAG